CATGGAACGTTTTTCTTTTTCATAAAGATTAATGTATTGAGTTGTTTTCCACACGTTATGGATTCAGACGTGTGAAAATTAAAGAGAATCTCTAATCTCTGACTGAGTTGGTCAAGAGATCTTCAACCAGGAAGTCTAATGCAATGTGATCGAGAGCCCTTGTAGGGGTTTTCATGCCCTCAAAGTTTATTCCGACACACTAGGTTTTTACTCATCTGCCAAATTCCTCTGTAAACAGCGCATGTTGAGGAAACCTATCTTCATATTATTAAGTCTGGAGAAAGTATGTTCTATCAGCACTCTGTATGTGATCCGGCGGAAATCAATAATGTGAAGTAACCCAATCTCCAATCAAAACCCGTTGCAAATAAAGTGAGTGAATATCATATATGATGGAATTCATCAGAACTAGACTGTATCGGGATGTAATACCGTTTGTGTATAGAAAGCGGTAAGCTATACAATGCGTCTTTTCATGCTGCAGATCGAATCACAGGATGACCCTATCGATCAAGAGCAGTTAATTCCAACAAACCTAAAACCTCACAGCAACCTAAGTACCGGGCAGTAAACAACCCTCGATGTGGTCTTCGTACTCCGTCGCTCACTCATACGGAGGAAAACGATCAGTATTACCGTTATTTACCTAATGGAGTCGGGACTGGTGACCGCTGCCAAACTTTTGCTGCGTAGATAGAAATATTCTCCATGGAGAAGGACCGAAAGAACTTTGCAAGATATACACGATCTTTCAACGTAAGTGAAACGTGACGTCCATGCCATGTTAGGGTTGCGTACGACCGTTATTGGTCACGCAACTACGTAAGCAGGAAGTGATTTACCATAACCGATTCCCGGTCATTTCGTTTCAGAGCGCGAATAATGAGAATCCAATCTCTCAGTATCGTTTTGCAATTTGAACGTACAAAGCGCAACAAACCCTGTTAATTTATCAAGTGCGCNGAAACAGAAGACGTCACAATCGTAAAAATTAACTTTACCCCAGCTTCCAATTCAACGTCAACGTTTTGGACCTCTTAGAGCATCCTCCAGCATTTCGTCTACGATAGAATTGAAAAGGAATGGCGAAATAGAGCACCCTTGATGAACGCCGCGGTTATGGACGGATTACTTAGTCTGTTACATATCCAGAAGAACAGGATTGGTGTTCTCCATAATTTAACATGCTGGTGTCATTCTTTCCCGTATGTACATATATACAAATGTAACTGGTCAAAATTTATTTATTCACCTCGAATACTCCTTTTAGATCACAATCTCGACCTAGATCGTATTCTGGGTGAGCAACTGCAATGAGTACAATGAACTTTAATCCATTCATAGCAAAATCTCAATAAAACTATACGACCAGAACCACGAATTTGTAGATACTCCTCTAGAAGGACAAAGGCAATGGGGGAGCCATACGCAGATGACTTACATTTTGACCATTTCCTTGAATTTGTTCTGTTCGTATTCTTTGAGCTTGTTATAGTCCTCTACAGAGGAGACAAAAAGATTATGCTTTGTCTTCGGTTTCGGTGGTTCAAACGGGCATGTCAGAATGGCCAGACGGGCATCTTTGACACTCCGAGGCATTTGAGGGTGGGAAAAGTCCTTGTCTATGATGACGCCTTTAACGATCAATGAATCCTCAAGACGACCACCGACTTTTCCTTCTACCTTGATCAATTCAAAGTCCACATCTCGACGTTCTAAGTCCGCGACAGCTAAGATGGCATCCACAGCAATCTCTGCAAACTGACGTTGACAACGGTTAACACTAAAAAGTGATAAACTTATGTGATCGCACTTACATCTTTGATCCCAAGGCGGTCATTGCAGTTTTAATTAACGGTTCCTTATCCATCTCCGAAAACTCGAAGTGGTCGCTAATTTCGTTTAGGACTTCCAAGCATTTTTGGGCTGCCAGTTCGAAACCATCTGCGATACGAATAGGGTGCAGACCACGGTCCAAAAGTTGTTCCGCTTGTTCCAGCAGTGCACCTGCAAGGACAACAACCCCTGTAGTTCCATCGCCGATTTCATCATCCTGAGATTGACTAAGCTGCACTAGGAGTTTCGCAATTTCATGTTCCACGTCCATTTTGTCCAAAATCGTTCGGCCGTCATTGGTCACAGTGATATCGCCATCAGGACTCACTAGTAATTTATCTAGTCCCTTAGGTCCTAAGGATGTGCGCAGAGTGTTGGCCACTGATTTCGCCGCAAGTATGTGAGACTAAAAACTAGGTGAGTATACACGAGCAGTTTACCTTGTGTGCCTCTATTCCAGTCAATCTTTTCTTCTTCTCTTGATCTCTGAATATTATAAAAGGTCTTCCGAATTCGTCAAAGGCAAGTTGACCTTGGGCTCGATCCTGAAACATCGGAGGCATGGTTGCCATGTTTATGGAATTCACGCGCCAGGAACGCAGTAATTTGAAACTACCGCTCGATGTGTGATGCGATAAAACTGTCAGGTCAGAACAGGTTGCACAGGACGATAAAGGCTTTCGCCAACTGAGCGTCCATACTCTTGCTTCATCCGGAACCACGCTCTTCCGGAGCTTCGACTTCTTGTCAACCGCTTGACTACAGCCGATTTCTTCGTTCAGAACACTCAGTTCGGTTCAGTTCAGTTCCAAGACGTTGACGGCGGTGTGCCAGTTAGTCCGGTTTCTTGCAGCGGTGGGCTCCAGGGATCCCCCGATGCTGCGACAGATGGAAGAGGGAGATGACTCTTCTTCGATTTTGCGATCAAAACATCAGGAGAGTTGGGTGTTNCTCTCGCGCCACATTCCGGTCACGCCTAATGGATCAGGGCAGCAGACCCTGACACCGGCATCAACCAAGTTACAACCCCGGCCGAAAAGAAAGAGGAGTTCTATTGGTAAGTAGGTGATGGTGACGGCATGGGGATATGGTATTGTAGTAACCAATCACATCCCGTTCTCAGTGTACATTTCATCCTGTGCATCTCATTGTTTTATCACACCAAGTCCACCTCTTCGGTCAGCACGTGTTTGCTTT